ATGCAGCTTATGGGCGTTCTGTCATGGAAATTTTTACATTTCGCCCTTTTGCAGTTCGCCCTTCAGCCGTTTCTACTTTTTGTCTTGGGACCGATGATGACACCACATTATAGTACAGTTCATAACGGTTAAATTGCCGGCAAAGGGCTCAGCACGCCGCCACGTCAAGTAAGAAAGCACGCAACACGCTGTCGTCCGCACAGACTCAGGGTCCTGGGACGCATGCGACGAAAGCCATCCTGTTACCATGACGGCGGGCGCCCGAAACAGCCCGCCGAACCTGTGACGGGCGGTCTGGATAGCTTCCATACCCGATTGCATGCCTCTGCAAGCCTGAGCAAGCTGACCTTTTGCCAGAGCGACACAAATGTTGATCACTTACTTGCAGATGTCCCTGGGGTGACATACCATAAGCCTGTTTAAGCTGTCTCAGCCATACAGCTCCCCTCAATTGCAGAAAACCCACTCTGGTTTGAGCTACAGAATTCAGTGAAACGAAATCTCACCTCCCGCAAGTTCTTCGCCCGCGTCATCTGCCGCTGCTAAGCCTGACAACCACGGCCACTGCCCCTGCCGTTTGAGAGACACCGGTTTCTTTCGGAATGCAGCCTCGTGCATGACCCTCAGTCTATTCAAACTTAACAACACACCAGTGTATATAACCACAAACATTTCTACCGGCTATTAATGTACTTTATTTGTTAAGCTTTCTTACGGCATTGGACGCTGTACACGGAGAGTGGATGTGCTCAACCCAGCGTTGAGTGGTAAAACAGCAAGACGCGGATGAAAGGACACACAAAGATGCAATGCGCATGCCAAGCACACCGAAGGACGAGGCAAAGTGAGGTTGTCCACCGTTGATCAACGCATAAATAGCACAGGACCCCAGGCGTAAAAGGATAAAACATATGATGATCCATCGAATGCCAATCCACCTCACAGTTCTCCGTTTTACGAGCATTCGCATGGTTTTCTTTTCAAGCGAGTCAGGCTCTTGGCTGGTCACTTTGGTGACAGTCTGTGATGGAGTTAAGAGCCCGAGGGGCATACTTTCTGTCGTCATTCAGCCACGGTGTGAGCCGGCGCAGGTTCACGGTAGGTGCAGTACCTCATCCGGATTGGTAGGTCTTCAGCAAATATTTGAATTGCAATTGAAGAAATAGGCTGGAGCACAGGGCTCACTCGCCTCGCGGTTCTTCTTGTCTGGCTAGTTGTACGGAGTTGAGCCAGCCGAGTGCAGATATCCTGGGCCAGAATATGTTGAACCGGACTTTTTGACGCAGGCACGGAGTGGAGCCAGCTGGGTCCTTTCAGAACAGCCGATATTCACTCGCATTTGCATTTGCCAGACACAACAGCGGCACAAAAATCAATACATTTTTGGAGCCCCAAGCGGTTCGGTCCGAAAGGCAGCCAAACAGTTAACACAATATGGCCATTACGAAAGCATCATGCAGTACACTTCAGTGGTTGGAATGTCCTGAGGGAAATCGTACCGGAAATGGCTGCGTCCAGTCAATAGTCGGAAGCATTGGCGTGCCAGGTGGGCTGCGTGGGAGTCCCACGACAGACTAGTGTCACCATATGTTGCCCAGGGTCTACACCGTGCGGTTCGGACTACAGACGGAACTTTTTCCGATATGTTGGCCCCCACACCGGTTCCTTTGGCCAGAAAGGTATCCAGCCCGCAAAACCCGCCGTGCTCCACCTTGCTGGCCGGCATTAGCCCACAAGCACTAAGTTAGTTGCAATCTACATTTTGTCATTTCTCCTTAATATAAGACCTATGCAGAGTGAGCATACAATGGCATGTGAGCGTCAAATGATACACAATATTGTTTTGCTAGCACCAGTGATGCTGCTTGGACGGAAGTGATCAAAATACACACAGTTATTTGTATTTAACAGGCGCCCGGATGGCCGTATGGATACGCTTGCCTCGGCGGGAGTCAATTTAACCCGCACTGAGGTCTCAGGAACTAAAAGAGCTGGAGACGCTAAAATCACAGAGTGCGTTGCCCTGCACGTTAAATCTCTTTAGTTAAAGTATGAGATTCCTAGATCCCTTTTGGGTCCGATAAAGTCAAACAAGGTCAAGGTCCAGGTTGGTTTCGAAAGTGTCCCAAGAACCTAAGCACTTGTTCTAAGCAAATGTCACATTCTCACTAAGGTCAGTAACATCGTTTGACCTTTTGAGGGTCATGGTGACCTAAACCATACAAAACCGCTCTGAGGTTTGCAGTTGAGGTTTGCAGTTTGCGGCAGTTGCAGCAGTTGCAGAGTAAGCGACAAAGATTACGCCTAGCAGTGTGCTTCTAAAAACACAATGTTCACCTGGGTCATTTAAAGTCAGTGACCTATTCCGACCTTTAGGATGTCCATGGAAGATGTCCAATGCAGTTCCTGTTATCCTTGAATTCGAAATGAGCACCAGAAACTACCACATGCGGTGAATGATATCCCTAGAGTCATACAACAGGCTGGTTTTGACCTTGGTCTAACGTTCATACCTGGCCCTAAGCCAATGTAATGTGCTCATTCAATTTTTGTGCTGCATTAGAGAGTATCTTAGAGAGGTGTTGCTTCGTCTAACACTCCTCTATTGCATCAGATTGAACGATTTCCTAGAAATTGAGTTCTGAGTCCATTAACTGACTTTGACTCATCATAGGTCAGTGACCTACAAGGTTCATCTAAATTTCTGGTACCAAGCGATCTGCTATTCAATTGTTTACAGCTATGCAAAATTTGGCGTGGCTACATCGCGCCGTTATCCATTCCGGAATAACCTTTGGGGGCCCATTTGGCCCCCACTCAAGCGCGTGCTAAAACATTTTTGTTCGCTATGTCAGCCCCGGCATAGTCCCACTTTCAATTAAAGCATATCATGCTTGAATGCGGCAAGTTTCGACAGCACCGAAAGGCATTGGAGGCATGTTGTCACCGCAGTGCGTTGCCGATAAAAGTTGTCCTATGTCATGACCATCCAACTCTTCTTGAGCCTTTCTTCAATTTTTTTTTAAAAGACCTACTGATATGTTTCAAGCACTGCAAAGGGTTATTAACTTGATAATGTTATTTCCTTCGCCACTCACATTTTAAAGTTTGATTTGTGACAATCCTCTCAAAGGCATGAAATGGTCAGAGCAGGCTGAGCACCGCAAACCAAGTGAGATAAAGTAATGCGTTATGATCCATGCACCCATTCGCTGGCTACGCCTGACTGGCAAGACTATCCCAACACAGAGCGGTTGCTCGCATTGCGGGTCTCTGCCAAGGAGCCCTATTTTCTCACCGTCGATTTCGTCGCTTTTCCGCTCGCACTCGTTCCAATCACACACCTATCATTCAGTTTTTGTTATTCTCTTTCTGCTCCCCTATTACGGGAAAGCGTGGTAAATGCAACGACGACACCGACACGCACTCGATTTTGGCCTCTGACCTTGGTTCTAACTGGGATGTAGCCGACGGGAGTGCCGCTGGCCTTGTTTTGGCTCCTTGTTCGTCTGATGACCTCCGCTCGCCCCAGACCCGTTCCATTGGCTCACACAGTTCCCCCGCTGTGTCTAGACTGCACTCGTCTCCGTCTAAGCCCCTGGTTTTGACCCTCGCTCGTCTCTGACCACTCTGGTGCCTGCTCACTCTGATGCTGACTCTCGCTCGACCATGGCCAGCAATCGCCCGACCTCCGAGCCAGTTCTCAATCTGCTCGGCTCTTTCGTTGTCGTGCAGTTTTGTGACGAGAACGTCTCCTTCAGAAAAGTCAACGTCTTATGGTCGTCCAAACAAATCCAACCCATCTGTGCCTTATGCAATCTTCAAAATGAGGCGCCACCCAGTGGGACACTCGTGATCAAAACAGCCTCTCGTGCCCAGACCAAGGCTTTCCTCTAGACCACTGAATTGCGCGGCAGGGAAGTAGACATCACCAGAGGTACCATCGTCGTACCTGAGTGCCATTTTATGACGGAGGACAGGATGCTGGCGAAAGTCAAAACTGACATATTTGTCACGGGCACGGCAGCAAGTTCTTCAAATAGAGTGCATGATGCCTCAAGTGCGGTGAGACCGCTCACGAGGCGTCCGTGTGCACATCGTTTCAGAAGTGTTGAAGGTGTGGAAGTGCTGATTACAGCACCAACTCTTCCCAGTGGCCGACATTGAGAAAAGAAAAAGAAATCTGCATCGAAAAGGGTGAGACAGGTACGTCTTACCAACAACCATAACGCACTGTCGAGACAAAAGTGTCCCCGTTGTAGTGTCTATGTATCGTTGAAGTGAAAATAATTCACATTCCCCTGTACTATCATACACTCCCGGGCTACCATGTGAAATGAAACCCTGTTTGACCTTGGATAAATAAACAGTTCCCCACCGACCGTTACCACGCGTTTTATGGTTCGCACCGAACCAGACCATACGCGAGCTGATCCAGCTCCATAAACATCACATTTGGCGATGAGGTATTTTTCGAATTCGCCGGAGAGTTTGCCATACCCCACCACACTGAATCTAATCTATACGGCAGGTTATCTGCGTATCGAGTTGAGCCAAGGTGGCGACCGCCATATCGCCGCCAGTGTTACCGCCGTTCGACCCCAGCGAACAACCCGTGGGTCCGCGATGGACCAAATGGTTATCCCACTTTGATAACTACCTGATCGCAGCAAGTATCACTGATCCTAACCGAAAGAAGGCTCTGTTGCTGCATTATGTAGAAGCTGTGCACGACATAGTTGACGCGCTACCGACGACGGCCGACGAAAACGGGAAGGATTCATATGGGAGCACGACAGACGTTTTGACGTCTCATTTCACCGCGAAGCGAAACCTCCAGTTTGAAGTGTATACATTCGGCCAATATGCGCACCAAGAGAATGGAGAAACTCTAGATCAGTTCGCAACACGTCTGCGAATGCCCGCGAAGTACTGTGAGTTCACCGATGTAGATCGCGAAATTAAGACCCGCATTATTCAAGCCTGCAAATCGACCAGGCTCAGATGTCGCACACTGCGCGAAACAATGACCCTCACCGAGCTGCTGACCATCGGAAGAGCGTTGGAAACGTGGGAGTCACAGGCCGCAAATGTCGAGCGCGGTGCCGATATGGCAATCAACCGTGTCCAAACCTACCGCCCGCCGCACCATCAAGCGCCTACCAATCGATACAAATCCAAGTCGACGCCGCAGCCGTCGACCACATGTGGGCTTTGCGGAGGAACCTACCCGCATGACGGTGCGGGTTTCTCAGAATTATACGCGCAAGCAACACAGGTAAAAGTAGCGACAAATGGTACACAAACAGAACCGATTCCCCAACTACCGCCGCTGAAAATTCATGCTCCATTCAAGACTGTCTTGGTTAGTTCAAACACATATACCCAACAAACTTGTCCCCTCGAGCCGGCCCTGGCAACGTGCTCGGACGCACAGTCCTCCGTGCCCTCCCGTTCCCAGGCCGGTCGGCGTTCCAGCTCCTCCGGCTACGAACGGTCGGCAGCCGGGTCACTCTGGCCGCCGCACGAACACGAACACGAACACTCTGGGCGAACGAACTCCCCCCCCCCCCCCCCTCCTTCCATCACAGCACCTGCCGTAACACGCTCCAGCGAAGGCGATGGGACGGTCTCGGTCTGTCCCGTTCGGCTGGCTCCCACCAACCGGTGGGGATGGACCCATCCACCCTTAAATGTCTTCTGTCTCGTTCGGCTGGCTCCCACCAACCGGTGGGGATGGGTCCATCCCCCCTTAAATGTCTTCCGTCTCGTTCGGCTGGCTCCCACCAACCGGTGGGGATTGGTCCGTCCCCCCTTAAATGTCTTCTGTCTCTTTAGGCTGGCTCCCACCAACTGGTGGGGATGGGTCTATCCCCCCTTAAATGTCATTTGTCTTACATTGGCATTGTCGCGGTCTCATTTCAAAATGGTCTGAAATAGAAGCAATTTCTGTAGTATTAGCTACCACCATTATACAATTAACTTGATTTCTTCCCACCGGCCCAAATGACCTTAAAATGTCAAATTATTCATGTTATCATAGTGACGACGCAGGCGGTGAGCGTCGCTAAGGTGGGGTAGCGATTCATACCATAAATGAAATAGCACATATGCACCTTCCACTCGCCTCACCTCTATAGGCTGTTGCATGTTGTTTGACAATTCATGACTGCATCATCGGTGTCTGTTCTGTGTACATTCCCCCAACTTAAGATAACGCGGAGCTCTCACGGCATCTTGACCACCTATTCATTCACTTTCGAAACGCTGTTCTCGTGCTCGACGATTCCAACAGTCATAGCCCAGCACGAAGTAACGGCACCCAGGCTGTCAATCGCCGAGGACATTTGAATGGAGACTGTTGATAACCAGAACTTAGTCACGTTAAGCAAAGCAAATAACATTTGCCACCACTTACCAACTGGTATGAAAACCACCATCGACCTGTCGCTGTGTTCTCCCTCAAATGGGTCTTTCTTGTTTTATAATGTTGAGGGATATATACACGACAGTGACCGTTTTCCAATATAACTGTGCACCACTTTTTATTCCGCCCGCTGATGCATTTCACCATTGCTAACCCGCTGGAATTTACCAACAGCAGACTCGGCCAACTTTCAGGGACTCATGTCAGCCAAGATCGTTGCGAATCACCAGAGCAGGGTGTTAGTCTTATAACGCGCATTATTCATGCCGCCGCGACCGCGACAATGCCATTGACTAGGCCATCGTTACGCCGCATCCCAGTGCCATGGAGGTCGACAGAGGTAAGAAATGTTATTGCACGTCCGAAATGTGCCTTTCGCTGCTTTCGTCACCAGCGTGATTATGAACGTACTCAAACCGGACAAATTATAAAGAGTGCCAAACGTGCGTCTTCGTCTTCGTCTTCGTCTTCGCAAACCTACGTTCAGTAATTCCCTGTTGCTACTCCCCTAAGCCAGCTACGAGGACTGGTTCGAACACTTCTCGGAAATGCACTTATTTTTCATTGCCCACTTTACGCATCAACACCGCGCCCGGTGGCCGGCTGGATACCCTTCGCTTGGGCGGGGAGGGAATTAGACCCCTCTGAAATCTCAAGAACTAAAAAGGCTAGAGACACCAATTTTACGGGGTGTGTTAACCAGTACGTGAAATCACTTAGGGCCGAATTTTGAAGCTCCTAGATCATGACCTTTGGGTCAAATAGTGTCAAAGAAGATCAAATTCCAGGTTAGTCTCAAAAGTGCTCCAGAGCCCAAATAAGTTTATAAGCAAACAGTCACATGCTCATTAAGGTTAGTGAACTTGTTTAATCTTTTGAAGGTCATGGTGACCAAAAATCATACAAGACTACTATGAGTTTTGCATTTGAATAAGCGACAAAGATTACGTTTGGCAGTATGTTTCTAAAAACAAAATCTTGACCTGGATTATTTCAGGTCAGTGACCTATTGTGACATCTAGGAAGTCCATGGAAGACGTATAACGCGGTTCCTGCTGTCAATAGATTCGAAATGAGCGCCAGAAGCTATTCCATACAACAAGCTCTCGAGTAATAAAACAGATTCGCTTTGACCTTGGTGTGACATTCATACCTCACCTCAGGTCAATGTAATTTTCTCATTCATTATTTATGTTGCCTAAGAAGGCATCTCAGAGATGTATGGCTTCGTCTAAGACTCCGTTGTTCCATCAGACTGAACGAGTCCCTAGAAACTGACTTCGCTGAAACCATGGCCTGACTTTGACCTGCCATAGGTCGGCGACCTTACAAGGTATATCTAAATTGGTAATACCGAACGATCTGCTGTTTGTGTACAGAGATGCAAACTGTGCGGCTACAACGCGCCGCTCGGAAACCATACTGGAAAACCCCTCAGGGGGTACCAAGCTGACCAACACCCGAGCGCGTGTTAATAACCACATAATTATTTATTAACTTTAAATAAATTAACTTGAACCCTCATGGGGTTCAAGTTGACCCGCACCCGATTGCGTGTTAATAACCAGATCATTACGGGCAGCACGTCTTATACCCAATGCTCTTGCCGAAAGCCTTGCTCAGTGTAGCTCCCCCAGAAATACCAAGCAGGCTTCGTGGATCTTGCGCAAGTTCCTTTTTATTTACACGCTAATTGATTTGCTTCCGATTATACAGAAAACTGTGATATACCATTTTCTTTCCTAGAACTCCAAAATGCAAGAGGGTACGCCGGGAACACCTCGGTAGGCAATGATCAATGACTTTTCCTCTCTGCAATCTGTTTGAAAGCATGTTTCATATTATTTTGACGGGTTTTAATGGTTTGTGGCCTTCCCGCGTCTATCCTGAGGCGTGGAGAGACACCATCATGACTGTGTTTCCAAAACCAGGGAAATACATCAAAAGCCCATCAAATAATTGCCCCAATGCACTCGCAAGCTCTCTAGAAAAAAACCTTTTTTAAGCAAATGGTGGCGAAGTAGATTTCCTGGGTCATAGGACGAGACTGCCTGCTTACAAAAAATCACTGCGGTTTTAGGCACGATCGCAGCACAATAGACCACATCACACGCCTTAAACTGGCAATAGACGTTCCTTTCAACATCGTCATTGCACGACTGCTGTCTTCCTGACATTAGCTGATTGTCTACGACGTGCTTTAAATGTGCACTTGTTCTCAAGCTCTAACACTTAGGGAGTAAAGGCCATTCAGCACATTATCTCCTTTTTTTATATTTATCATCAGACCATTTCGTACGCAGTGCAGCTCCGCCGTTTCTGGTACTCACCATCTGGAGAACGGCCTCCCATAGGGGAGCTGCATCTCACCGATGCTGTTCAATTTCATGTCGAACGAATTATTTGGCTCATTACCACCGGGTAGTTCCTCCCATATTTTGCGGACGAAAGCGCAATCTGGTGTCCGGACGCTGAGTATGACCATTCGCTGCCACGGCTCCCATCCGACCGGAACAACGTGTAGCGGTGGTCAGAGCGGCACGGGCTCCATTTCGCCACTCCAAAATCTGCACTTATGGTTTTGAGCAAAAATATGGGTGGTACTTATAATTTTCGGCTCCAGTTAGATAGACACAACAATCCTTTCGCTTCGTATTTTCAATTTCTTCGTGCCTAACTCCACCCAAGATTATCAATGCGACAGCACGTGAAATATGTTCGCTCCAATTACCTTAGACGACTATATTTTTTTAGATGCATTTCCGGGGCACGGTACGGTGCCGACTGCGAAAAAGTTATTACTTCTATATAAATCCTTGGTTCTTCCAATAGTTTAATGTCGCTCCGTGGCATACGCAGGAGGGAGCCGACACACTCCTCAACCTCTACACAGTATGCAAACTATGTTCTTGCGAATGACTCGAGGAGTTCTGCGCACTAAGCCATTTTCAGCGCTTGGAATGTACGCGTACGCTATGCCTCTTGCTCTTCGACGAATGGAACACACATCACGATACGTAACAATATGGCGACAAAATTCCAATCACCCAGGTTTAAATCTATGCATATCTTGGCTCGCATTGACCACGACTGGAGAGGGCCTAAGAACGCCGGTCGGAACAGACGCTAAGGTCTCGGACCACTGTCTACTGCACCACTCTTCATTTTGTATTACCCCACTCTTCCGTGCCACCTGGTGTAATAGCATCACCATGACAGTTCATCACATGAAATGTTTCGTGTCTTTTAGACGATCCCAAACATTTTTTTTTACAATTTCCTGTTGCCAATAATCGAAATAGCAGTTTTGTTTACACCGATGGCTCCAATGCCAATTACCACACCGAATGTGCAGTAATTTGCACTGAACATTGCCATAAAAGTCGTCGGTTACCGGATGGCACCTCAGTATATGTGGCTGAATTATTTGCCCTTCTTCTTGCATTACAGCACTCTCAATAACGCACACCTATAAAACGAGGGCAGTAGTGTTTGTTCGGATTCGAAGAAAGTTATGCAACCTCTCATCGATTCAGACTTCACTCACCACCTCTTCGTTAGCATCTTCAGTCTCTATCATATGTTAAACACAAAGGGCATAAACATTAAATTTCTGTGGGACCGGGACATAGCGGCATTACGGGTAAACAGCGGGCTGACCGACCAGCCAAAGAAAGCTTTGACAGCCCGGTTGATTATGCATCTGCGAAACCTTTTATTTGCACTCTGAAAAAAACATTTTTTGGCAACGACGATGGACCGATATTACCATAAGGCAACTTATTGGTTTGCTTCAAGCAGTGTAAAAGTCAGCAAACGTGCGTGTTTTTTTTCTTCAGCTACATAATTACACCGATTTAAAATGATATTTTCCCGACGTGCAATTGCCCAAACGGGCCGAAACGCCTCACACAAATAACATTCAAAATCAAGCGTCGCGAAATACAACATACCGTGCGACCTGACAACGGAGTGTTTCTCACTCTCCGTGATCCGGTCCACTCTGGGCCCGTTTCACTTTCTGTCAGTCCGGATCGGCACCACCTTGTTGCCGGTACCGATGTTTCACACCCAACCAGCACAACCACTGCTAGTCCCGGCCACTCAGCTGCAACCAGCCGGTTTAGCACGGGCCCTGGGGTGCAGGTAATCATGCTTGTGTTGCACTGCACGAGGCTCAGATCATCGATTGAGAAAAACAACAGGGCAACTACTGCCGCCTTTCGCGATCGCAGAGAAGATCCCTTCCTGGGTGACTGTGTGACTTCATCGGCATACCATCGCATTATATATCAGATTTAGCGCCAAATGGTCTGAAACTAACCATGACGGTTACCGTGACAGGCAGCACTATATGCTCCGCTTCTTAACGCTCCTTCCTTGACGCAAGACCCCGCATTACTGCGTCCTGGGGAGCGGTGCTGTGACGTCATCATTGGACTAAGCCATACGGCACCAACGCTATGGCGGCGTGAAAACGCTGTTTTTTTGTGCGCTTGCTTAAACACATATTGACCGATTTTTCGACCTAGCACATGCAGGAAATATTTTCAGCTGGGAACTGGTGTGGGTTTGCACCAGAGCTGCAAAGTCATTGCTGGCATGCGTTTCCGGCCTACCCCAACAGAGATAAAAAACTCGTTCACCGGTGATTTATCCGAAAGAGGTCTAGCCGAAGGTGCTTACGAACAGGCTGTGTAAAGGAGTACAGCGTACAACAACAGGATGGGAATGAGACATGACAGGCCAGACGAACTCGTGGCACCCTGGGACACGCAGTGATAAGTTGGAATCACATTCTGTAGACTTAGGGGAAGCGTTTTCAGGCAGGATGCAGTCCGCACTCATGACCGTTACGCTGCGAAGCAGACAGCTCGTGCCACAGACAGTGAGAGCTTTCAGGCGAGCAACAGCGTGCGGCGGGGCGGTAGCGGGAAGGGTGCCGACCAACTCACTGCTCAGATGATGGCTGCACACCGGCAAACCCGGACTGCTAGGGCATGATCAGCTCCAGTAATAACTGCCTGTACGGCGAACACGCCTCCAGCCGCATTCCAGATCCCAATGTGCACGCAAGCGGCGTGAGATGTTCATCTTTACCGTACTTGGCACTCCCCGGTCTACGTGGACGACACTCGTCCACAAGATCCGCGAAAACAGAACAGCCAGCTTGTCCGTTATTACAGTGGTACTTATTTTCTAGCACGCGAGTCCACATAAACCGGCAGAGAAATATGCGGGACTACCGGTGCAGGCTGATAGGAAATGACCGTATTAAGAGCCACCATGCTGAAAAAGACCCCATGCAACGAATGCGACGGGTTGAGCAATGCAGCTTGTCACGCACACAGATCAACGCCAGGCGCGTGCCTGCTTCAAGATGACCCAGCGAGGGCATTGACAGAAGGGCCAGCCTGGCGCAGACCTATCATTTGCTCAGCCTCGCACGAAACATCGTCGTATTCTACGTGTAAAGGCCTCCAGGCAGCCGGCGGCACTGCACTCTGCCGCAGCATAGTCGGAAATAAAATGCTACTGACAGCCATTGTTGAGTTTATTGTCGATGTTACAGCGAGTAAACGTCTCCGGCCAAATATCGATCGACCGGGCTGTGCACAAAGTTCACTGAAGAGCATGGTTCCGCACACGGCAGAGATGCCGAGTGAAGTGACAGGTTAAAGCGTTAGCAAAGCGTAGCGGCTCAACAGCTGATAACGCGATATCCAGCAGCGTGATTGCAGTAACTTCACTCGGGTCGCCCTTATCTATATTCTTTGCGGTATGATTATCAAAGAACAAACCAGACAATACATTTACAAACAGAAAATCGTGGCGACCGGCCGGCGTTGTAATAAGTCCAGGCTCGTGTTCACTCAAAGACGCGTGGTGCTCGGGTGGTAACCAACAGCGTCCATAACCGTTCTTAGCACCAAACCGTGATCACACTGACAAGGACGTGCGAGACGCAGCTACGTATCACTACGAACCTTGGATGCCATTAATGTTATATCAGTGAACTGACCCATCTGAAAAATTCCGGAAGACTGTTGTCTGCATCCTTCCCAATAATCACAAGCGCTCTCAGCCCGTGTCGTTGGCAGACAGCACGCGCTACTAAGCTGGACAGGGCGCTGCGGCCCAGGCAGCGTTATCTCCTTGCTGGTCGTTCTCGGACGCAGGCGGTGGAATCGGCTATTGGCTACAGCAGCACTGTGTCGCAGTTGACGGTCCAGGGCGTACGACTGAAAGGGCCCAAAAGCAGTTCAGCTGCGTCATACAGTATCGGACGGCCACGCACACTTGCGATCAGCCAACTTCAACAGCCGACCACAGAAAAAGCAGAGCCATGCTACTATTCTCGTAAATACGTCTCGCTGTGTATTTAATCGGACCATACTCGTCAAGAGAAAACATAATCAGGTGACATGTGGCTGCATGAAAGGTTTAATTTACCGGCCCGATAACAAACTGCTTAGTTATATCGTGTTTTCCATAGGTAGCAGCCTGATGCAGATTGATGCCGTTTGCGCAAGGATTTGTTTCTCACCGCGCTCCGGGCGAACTCTGTCTGGTAATAATCATACACGCTGGCCACCGCCCGTTTGGCATCTTCCACCTCCTGCTCCCGCTGTACGATGATGCCGAAACAGCGCTCCTTTCCATCCAGCGAGTCGAAGTAGAAGACCACCTTGTTGTTGTTGACCTCCCAGCGCTTCAGACCTGAATGGAGTATGTTTCCGGTTGTCAGAAAACATGATAAGCCTCCGAAACGGCAGCTAACTCATACAGCTTATCTAAAGAGCCTGGCAACTCAGATCTAAACTTCATGCCATGTCTAATTGCTAGATAAAGAATGTGTTCCTAGTGCTGGCAGAGCCAACTCAGATCTGACGACCTGCTCGTTAAAAACAGACAACTCAGATCGTACGACCTGCTAATGGAAACTGACAACTCAGATCAGACGATCTGCTAGTGGAAGTAGACAACTCAGATCTGACGACCTGCTCTTTAAAAAACAGACAACTCAGATCTGACGACCTGCTCGTTAAAAACAGACAACTCAGATCTGAAGACCTGCTAGTGGAAACAGGCAACTCAGATCAGACGACCTGCTAGTGGAAACAGACGACTCAGATCAGACGACCTACTTGTTCAAAACAGACCACTCTTATTCGACGAACTGCTGGTGAAAACAGAAAGCCCAGATCTGACGACCTGTCAGTGAAAACAGATAACTGTGACAACAGGAAGGCATATGTCTATTACGTGCCATCAACTCCCACTTACCCAACTCGACGTTCTGCTTGAGGTCATTCAGACTTCCCTTGTTGGGAATGAACCCGCTGACCATGTCCAGCTCAACCACAGCCATATTGGTTTCGCTATCCTCCTTCAGGTAGCTGACGCAGATGTCTTAAAAAGCACAACATTGCCATGTTATCATAACAACCAGGCAGGCATGCGGTCATCTGTAAAACCCGTTGAACGAGAGATGCTTTCGAACACTTTTTTAACTGCACTAGGCACTGCAGTGTCTTCTGATGCTTGCACAGAACAGGAACACTGCAAGCTGGTCAAGATCCTCCTCCCATGACATTCCCTCGCATCGCACTACAGATTTAAGATCAAACCGAGCAGAGGCTAACGAGTGGTCTGAAGACCAGGTGAGACAGGAGACAGCTAGAGAAGTCAATAGGCGCGTCACTCGTCTCACCTATGGTATGCTTCAGACATTCCCGCTGGTTCATTTTGGGCTTGGCAGCCACGTTGATCGTCAGTGCGTCGTTTGGACCGGCTGTGTACACGTTGTATTTCAACGAGGCCTGGCGAAACAACCAGGTTACTTGTCATGCGCGTGGTGCACGTACATCGTCATGCATTGCTGGAGCTAATTTGTATGGTGCAGCAGACAAGGGCATGTCTCGGGGTTCGCATTCCCTGCATGTTATCATTGAACTGAATGTCCTTTACTCAGGCTCTCAATGAATCACATCAGCCGTCGAACAGCTGACGCGATAACGCTCTATACTAAGAACACGGTGTTCAGCTCTCACACAGTTTACTGAGATACATTCTCAGCAGTCTGGCACCTAGATGATGATTATGATGATTGGGGTTTTAGGGCGCGTCGACTTCTAGGGTCATTTTGCGCCCATAATAGCTAAGTGTTTACCGTGGTGTATAAATGGCTGTGAATCCTACGCTTCTCAAAAATGAAAACAGCTGTCCGGTGCCAAGCATGCGAGAATCGTCACCAGTAAGGTCTGAAAAGGTAAGACCTAACACATCTCCTCCGGAAGTAAAGTGCCCGCTCTTCTCTGAACTGTGGGCAAGAGGGAATAACGTGGCGAACCGTAAGTGGCGCATCACAGCGAGGACATTTAGGGCGTTCTTCACCGCACAAAAGGTAGCTATGTGTTGCGTGCGTGTGGCCAATTCGTAATCTGCTGAGGGTTACTTCTTCGCGTTTCAACTTACGTGAGCTTGAAGACCATGCACCCAGTTGTGGCTTGATCATCTTTAACTTATTGTTTACAATGGCGTCCCAGCGGCGTTGCCATTTCCCCTTTACAAAGGTCGCGATTGCAGGGTAAAAGTCCCTTGCCGGCAAGGGTAAAGAACGGGTGCAAGGTGCACGCGCTGCCCGTTTTGCGGCCGCGTCAGCACGTTCGTTACCTGCGATACCCACATGACTCGGTATCCAACATAAGACGACAGTTTTACCAGCAAGATCCAGCGCTGTCAGGCGAACTAAAATATCCTCTATAATGGAACATCGTGGGTTATAGGTTTTCAGAGCCAACAGGCCGCTCAAAGAATCGGATAAGATCACGTGTGAGTTCTTCGATGAAGCATAGGGCTTTCTGATTGCAACGAGCTCGGACGTGTAAACTGAGGCGTGTTTCGGTAAAGAAAAGGACCGGGTGGCTTGGTCATTCACAAATGCGGCACCAACGCCTACCTCCGTCTTGGACCCATCAGTATATGTGGCTTCAAAACCTATGTACAACCCGATGTGCTCCAGAGCCTTCGATCTCAGGTCGCATGGGATCGCTCCCTGTTTGCTTGTGCATGAAGGGGACACACCCATTTTTGGTGAGATTAGCTCCCATGGAGGCACTAATACGGGACGCAACCTTAGCACACCACGCAAACTTATGTCGTTTTCCCGGAACAGCTTCTTCATATGGACACCAAATGGAATAGCGGACAGCCTTCTGCTACTTTGGAACTTGCTTTCCCCATCACGTGAAAAGATTGCTCGGTGAGTCGGATGGTTGGGAAATTGAGCAGGCTTGCAAAAGTACCGCATGCCAAGCATTTCCCTTCTCAGTGCCAACGCCGGTTCATTAACTTCCACGGTAAGGCTAGCAACTGGCGACGTCCTGAATGCCCCCGTCACAATGCGTAATTCGGTGTGGTGCACGGTGTCTAATAAACGTTTGCAGGAACTCGGCGCGCTGCCATAAATGAAACAGCCATACTCAAGTTTCGAACGTGTAAGTGAGCGGTATAGCAGTAACAGTGTTCTTCTGTCCGCTCCATAAGATGTTCGACATACATACTTCAATATGTTCAATGCTTTAAAACAGTTGTCACGTAGGGTTTTCAAATGTGACCCATACGATAAACGGTTATCAAACTGCAGACCCAAGAAGCGGGTACTGGATTCGTTCGGGATGGTCCGGCCGTATAGCCTTAAAGCCATAGCGGGGCATTGACGACGTCGTCTGCAAAAGTGCATAGTGACTGTTCTCGAGGTCGAGAAACGTAGTCCGTTTATAACGCTCCATCTTTCCAGGCTGATCACAGCCAACTGCAAGCGACGTTCCAAAGAGACAAAGTTTGACGAGGCATACCAGATGGTGACGTCATCCACGAAGAGAGAGCGGCTGACCGACTTTGGAAGGGAGTCACCAATATCGTTAATCATAACCGCGAACAAAGCGACGCTCAAAACGCTCCCCTGGGGCACGCCATTATCTTGTTGGTACCTATCCGAGAAGTGTGAGCCAACACGAACTCTGAAAGAACGATCGGTCATAAAGTTCGCTAAGAACGTGCCCATGGCTCCTCGAATGCCATAATGAAAGAGCTTTTTCAGGGTGCCGTAACGCCACGTCGTATCACAGGCTTTTTCAACATAAAAACACAGCGCCAACATGTCGTTTTTCCCTAAAACTGGTGCGGATGTTTGTGTCGAGAGCTATAAGATGGTCAATGGTACTGCGATTTTTCCTGAATCCACATTGAGCAGCCGTAAAAACGCTGCACCGCTCCAAAAACCACGACAAATGCACATTTGCCATACGTTCCATCAACTTACAAATGCATAATATCAGTGAGATAGGGCGATAGTCTGCAGGGTCAGCCCCACTCTTACCAGGCTTGAGCATAGGGACAATATGTGACTCACGCCACGACTCCGGAAAACCTCCATTCTTCCAGAGTTTGTTGTACGTCGCTAAGAGGGCCTCAACTACTGAAGTGGGACGTTGCTTAAGCATGGCGTTGTGAACTAGATCCGGACCTCCTGCCACATTGCGCAGCGATCCGATCGCGGAAATTACTTCGGCCATTGTAAAAGGTCGCTTATACGACATCTGCTCCGTCGTGTTGAAGTTGACAGGGGATGCCTCGCAGCGGATCCGGTGACGCATAAACTGCGGGACGGCATTGCCGTTACCATCACCGTTCGGAGAATGCGCGGGCGATTTCATTTGTTGCGTCAGCTGGGTGTATAATGTCACGTCCACTGATACGGAGCACAGGGTGTGGTACAGACGAGTGCTGTCCCGCAATGCGCTTGATCCGTGACCATATATTGGATACAGGTGTTTGGCAGTTTAGTTGGCCGACGTACGATCGCCACGATGCCCGCTTAGCCTCTAGAATGGTACGTCTAGCAGCCGCTCGTGCTCGTCGAAATGCAATGAGGTTCTCAGTAGTGCTCCGACGGCCAAACTTTCTAAGGGCCCTCCCACGTGCACAGATTGCGTCCCGGCACTGCTGCGTCCACCATGGGACAGGAGGACGACGAGGGCAGCGCGACGTTCGCGGTAAGCACCCTTCTGCAGACCGCAAAATCAGCGATGTCAAATCCTCTACCGACGAGGGTTCACTCGCTGGCTGCATTGTAAGGGAATGCTCCATCCTCGCTTGAAACTCATTGCAGTCGGTTTTTCTAAAATTCCAGCGCTGTGGCCGAGAACCAAGAAAAACGTCAGCCCGGTACTTGATCCAGATGGGGAAGTGGTCACTTCCCATTGGATCGCCTGACACCGACCAGTCAAAATGGTTGATCAGTTGTGGGCTCAAAAGACTTAAGTTGATTGCCGATGTCTGTCCCGATGGGAGTGTAAAATGGGTACGCGCGCCCGTGTTTAAGAGGCACAGCGATTCTTCATGTATGAGGGCTGCGCAGCGTTTCCCGCGAGTGTTTGTCTTGACACATCCCCACGCTGAGTCGTGAGCGTTAAAATCACCTAAAATGAGGACAGGCGGCGGAAGCTGAGCCAGCAGGTGTCTCAGATGAGCAGACGGAAACCCGGTCCCCGGAGGCAAGTAGATTGAGCATATGGTGATCGTATGGTATTTTAACAACACTGACTGCGATAGCTTGAAGCTCAGTATTCAAAGCCAGCCTTTGTGCACACACGCTGTGGTGCACGGCTAGGAGAACGCCACCATGAGCAACAGGGTCAGGTGGTAAGTCTCGCCGCCAAACAGCATAACCCGAAAGACTAAAAACGCTGTCTGGTGCCAGTTTTGTCTCCTGGAGACATATCACCGCCGGACGCCGCTCGTTAATGCATAGTTGGAGATCCTGGTAGCTTGTTCGGACGCCCCTACAGTTCCACTGTAAAACATTCGTCATGGAGCTAAGACGTCAGGGCGGTCGTTAGCTTCCTATCACTCCATGGCATCGACGCCTACCGGAGGGCGGGGGGCATGCGTTTGAGTTGTGAGTGTAAAACAGGCCTACTTTTAAAAATACTCGGCTGCGCCGGCCACAGCAGACCCAGACGGTCCAGCTACGGGGTGCAGGGGCCCACCAAGGTCTGATCCCACCGACGCCGGCCGGGTCCTGGGCCGAATACGTGGGCTGCCGTCTGTGGGCGAGATTGGCCAGGGGGGGGGGGGGGCGCGCTTTTCAGGGCGCCCCACTCTAGACGGGGACGGCGCCGGCGAAGCCGTGACCCTAGATGGCGGCGCAGGAGGAGGGCCCATCGGTGGCTTCCGAACCTCGGATCCACCAGGGGCCTCTGCGCGTCGTCTGGGCGGTGGACCGGCTTCCCCGCGGG